AATTCATTACGATGATACAATAATAATATATCAAATGATAAGTAACATGTGATTATAATAATTTTTGATAGTTATACAAAAGTATCCAAAATTATATATAAAAAATAATATATGGTCCATATTCAATTTTTATATGGTAAAATTCACACTTAATCTCAACCACACATTAGTTTTCTAAATCAATTTATCACCCAAACTATCTACTATTCTTTTAATATTCACCTTTTGAGAATCCACCCAAACAATGCTCTAGCCGAGTTCATTATCACCGTTGTTGTTGCCATGCTCACCATCTCCACTAACCATTATACAACTCTGGTCTAGTTTTTTTTTTTTTTTTTATCTTTGTAAATATAAAAAAACAATATTGTGGAAATAAAAAAGTACCGTTAAAGTTTTAAAGAGTTAAAAATGAAAAAAAAATGTGATTTTAGGTTTTCTTATTCCATATATAGGTGTTAATATTTTTTTTTAAAACCATAAATTATGAAATAGTGTTCATTATTTAAAATTTTATTTATTGATGGGTAAGTCAATTAAATGTTTTTAATTTTTTACAAATAAAAAATTTGAAAATTTTGCTTTAGAAATTTTAAAAATGGCCAAATCATAAAGAACAGTATAAGATGCCTTATTCTATAAAAAAAAATAAAAAATCATAACTATATTATCAATTCACATATATCAAAAGAAATAATAACAACAATATAAAAAATACACAAACATCTACCAAAATAAATAAATAAATTCAAATCAACTCCCAAAACAAAGATAGTTAACAGATATATATTTTTTAGCAATTTAGTTGGAAAAAAAATACATTGGAAAGAAAAAGTCATATAGAGGGAAAAAAAAATACTCACACAAAAAACATAAATTTACAAAAAAAAAAAAAAAACACAAACAAACAAACTTGAAATAAGTTTGGACTATTGGCAAATAGAGAGAATAACCATTGCATCATTACATTTGGGGATGCGTTGGTTGGGCTAGAAAAAAGATCAAATATTGAATATTTTAAAGAGCGAATTGTATTGAATTTTTAATTTGATTGGATTTTTAAATTTTTAGATTTATATTATTTTCAAAAAATGTGAGGGTGGGATGAAAGTGACTTACCATATTATTTTGAATTTTGAAATTTAAAATCATAGATAATTAGTGTTTTTATTTTTTTATTTGAATTATTTTGATCAACATTATTTTTGGAAAGAGTAAGGGTAACTTATCATATTGTTTTGAATTTTAAAATTCAAAATTGTAGATAATTTGAACTTTTTTTTATTTTTGAATTTTTGACTTAAGGAACTAACTAATAGATTTTTTTTTTATTTCTTTACAAATTAACAAATTAACAAAATTAATTTAAGAGTTTAGAACTTCCACAATTATTATTCTTAAAAAGACTTTTTTTTCTTATATATAGAGATTATAAAAATTTAAAATTACTAATCAAATATACCAATTAATGTATATAAGATTGTTCAAAGACCTATGGGTTAGTATCCCAGAAATTTACCTCATGCATATAGCGGGTCAATTTTTGATGTAAAAAAAATAAATAAATAAATAAATAAATAAAATTCAACCGATATTAAAATATAAAAAATTGAGACATAATTTAACGAGGGTTGAATATCTTAAAACACAAATAGAAGAATTTGAAGCAGAAGATTCGTAATCTCTGTAATTAGCCAAGAAAATGCAACCAACTTGACAATTATTATATCATAAACATGCCTAGTGGGTAGTGCAATGGCTAGTAGGTAATGTCGTGTTCCACAGGCATAGCCTCGTTTGGCAAACACTTAAAATTTTATATGATTATTATTATTATTATTTTATTTTATTTTTGTTTTCAATTTTGTTAAATTTTTGTAATTGACAATTTCATTGAAAAAAATTTCATTCAGTCATATTTTTATTCGCTTTATTGTATCTATGAGATTATGAGAGTTTAGATGTGAATTCAACTTGAATTGTACATGTGCAGAGAGTTTGTGTTGACATTTTGTATCTTGACTTGAACATCCTTGTTTGCCACTTCGCTTGTGTGTGTTCTGAACTTCTAGGAAGCGTGTTTTACCACTCGAGCGATAGAAGTTGTGCTCGAATGGTTGGTTTATATGTGAGCATCGCCATTAGTCATACTGCT